GCCACCATTTTGTCTTCTGCAGTTTTCAGCTGCTGAATATTTCCCTCACATTTCGCGTCGAGTTATAAATCCGGAAAAAACTCCGCGTTGTCATCGCGAGAGAAAAATCTGACAGAAATTAAATTCGTTCTTTTGTCTTTACGCCTTTGTTGAGGATGGTCACTACCTTGGACCTCTGAAACCAAATCTCATCAAAATAATATGCAGACGTAAGTTCCTTCCGCCAACAGAAAATATCGCAAATATAAATTGGTTGGCGCTGTTTTGGGAAGAAAATTTCTGTTTATTCTGATAATCATACGAAACTCGCACGTAATGCTCTGTGGGGGGGGGGGGGGGGGGGGGAAACAAGTTGTCTGTGGGGGAATGATGTGGTTTGTCAGTCAGGATCAGAGCTGATCTGAGTGATGAGTAAACAAAGGGCTGATTAAAATGTCAAATGGGGATTTGGGTCAGGTTGGGAAAGAACCATTCTGCGATTAATGAACATGCTGCCAACCTTCAATCTGGATCAACCAGTTCATTAAAGAAACCTGGCCTTCCGAACTTACAGCCATCTGTTTAAACTAACACACTTTCAGGTACAAACTTTCTCTTGTTTCATAAACACACACTTTCCACAAAACACGAAAGGAACAAGAACGCTTTGGTGTTGAAGTCCCTCCCACCTATCACATTACAAAGTTTTAATTTCACTTTAATGCGCTGCACAGTATATAACAGAAATCACAGATAAATGTCAATGACTTATAATATTCAAACTGTAAAAACTGTTTAGAATATGATTCTTTGGTAACAGTCAGTTCGTAAATCTTATTAGCGTCTATTTTTCATGCAGTTTTCCAGAATCCTCCGGCTTCTCGCCAAATTTCTAGCTACCTAATAAGATACGACTGAATCTGTTATGAAATACGACATTCTTTAATCCTTACTGAGCACTTACAGCTCTATTGTAAAATATCTGTTCTTCACAATTCAGTAAAAAAAAAATACTGACCATTTCCACACGCTAGGGAAAAATCATAACCTCTGGTAACGACTTTCTCGTTCGCGACGGTAGAGCCGAACTGCTGAAAACAGGAATGGCATGGCTCCTCCAATGACGAGGAGGGTGCCAAGCACAGGGCGATACGAACTCCAAGCAAGTGACATTACCAGGAAACATACCGATGTGGATATTGCCATGTTTACAAAATTCATACCCATCAACAACAAACTGCGCAAGATGGAATACCTGGAAACTGAACACACCTTACCATTAAAACAACATTCTTACTATTTACGCAATGTTTCTTCACAGACGTCTTTAAAAACCCTAATACAGCTCATCTTTGGATGAGCTAGTTAACTAATAACAAAAAAATTAGAATAATTGACATAAGGATTTGAATCCCAGCCTTTAAATGGCAAGAGCTGTTTCACTATACACCAGCACTAGATGGGGGTGAGTGGTCAGCATCACGCTCCGGCCGTGCTTTACCCCAAGGAAAGGACCCTGATACCCATTGGAGAGGAGACTGGGTGGGCCCCAGAGCTGGTCTCGACGCAGAGGCTAGAGGAAAAATCCTCTGCCCCCGTCAGGGATCGAACCCCGATTGTCCAGTCCGTAGCCACCCAATACACGAACTGATTTACACTGGCTCATCATGGCAAGAAAGTACATATAATTCTGCCTGAAAATGTAAGCTTTCTGATGGCATGGCAATCACTCGTCTTCAGTTTTCTTCCCAAGTATAAATGGCGACACATAATGCAACTGATAATTCTGTCCGCCTTTCAATGCCATATCACAGTTTGCTACAAAAGATATAAAAATGTAGACAGAGCTTTAAAGTTATTGTATATGCTTTTTTTTTAATTCCAGTCACAGACCAGGCAAATCATAGACCCTTATAACACACTGCCTTATTTCCAAATGTTCTGGCCCACTGACAACACTACAGGAGGTTCCAGGCTCAAATGAGGAGACTGGACACCCCAACACACAGTTTATAGTCATTATGCCATTTCTCATTTGGCAGTACACAACTAACACAGAGACGTCAAACAAGCACAGCATTTATGTCTCTGTGGAAATGAGCGACTGCTAACAAGCTTTCAAGGTGAATATGGGGCAGCAGCGGAATACTGACAGGGGAAAACCAAACGACTCAAAATAAAACCTGTCCTAGTGCCACTTTATCCACCATAAATCCCACACGGATTGCTCTAACCATTTGTCCTGAGCCATGAACCTATGAATCACACGCACTAAAACCATAGACTAGGCTATGAACGACTGATTTGCTCAACTTAGTTTTCACTCGTCCATCAATGAATATGAGCAGGTAGAAGCTAAATGAAGCTACAGTTGTTTCAAGAATTTGTATTTCTGACAGCGGCCATTTCTATTTGTGACAGTCTGTCAGCCTACGATCTGTTCATTTCCTGTAGACCACACATGATCTGAATCTTACCAGAAAACTTATAACGAATAAAATAAGTACTAAGTATATTATGGTGCATACCACTGCTGCAAAGGATGCCTTCTGTCAAAACCTTATTGTAATCATCTGAAATACAGTGCGTCCACAAAGTCCCTTCGGGGATTTGAAAAATTGTGGGCACGCAAACAAATTGAGCTAGCCACATGCGGTTTGCAGCAGATTACAGTGAAACTCTGGAAGTTTTTTTATCGACCTCAGTAGACCTCGATGTGGGCACTGTTGGTAGCACGGAGAACGTCCAGACGATATTCGTTGCCATGCTCTGTGGAGCACGTCCACTGGAATAGCCGAGATGACATTCCTGATAAGGGTCTTCAGGTCATCAAGTCCGTTAACTGGTGTTCGGAACACATTGCTCTTGACATAATCCCACAGGAAATAATCCAGTGGTGTTGTCTGGTGACCGTGGAGGCCAAGGCATTGGACTGTCTCTGCCGATCCATCTTCCTGGAAATGTCCTATCTAGGAACGCGCGTACCTGCAGACCCCAATGAGGTGGAGCACCATCTTCCAGAGTTTCACTGTAATCTGCCGCAAACCGCATGTGGCTAGCTCAATTTGATTGCGCGCCACAACTTTTCAAAACCCCGAAGGGACTTGGACACACTGTACATTACCACTTCCAATTAGAAAGAATGCCTTTATATAGGACATACCATGTTTCATGCAGAAATATCACATTCCTCCTTATATGAACTTACCAATAATTTGCAGGATATTTGAAACGCAGTTTGCCCCAAGAAACATCATGAGCCAGCCAAGGGCACGGTAAGCCCACGTCAGCCACTGGTTGCGAGCTTGTTCATCAAGGAACATTTCCTCTACCGTCAGGCGTCCATGCCGCAGCATCAGTATTTCATTCCCTGAGAATGTCCGATACGGTTGAATTTCCTTCCCAACTTGCATCCCTACAACACTCACCTGGGATTCAGAGATCATGATATAAAACAGACTTAAAACCAAACTATATCGCACCCACATTAGACACAATTTCAATTCTTGGCGAGTTCTATTAAAATAGCTGGTTCATAGAATACTGACACAAAAAATATATCTCCATTCTAAGAGCAGCACAGACTGTACAAACAACATTGGCTACTGTAATCTTTATGCGTGAATGATGAAGGCCACTGCACAAAGCAGAAGGAAACCAGGGATGAACAAACAGAAACAAATAATATTGCAGAGTACAAGGAATCGGCCCAGATGGCTTACGTGGCCTATTTAATCACACCACGAGATCAGTTACTTCACCTGCGAGATTGCCCGTTATTTGTGACAAAAAACTTTATTAGTAAAGCACTTTTGAAATGATCATGTCAACTGAATTTTCTTGTGCACACCACAGCGTACTTAATACTCTCGCAGTACGTCATTTACTAAGATTACGACGACACTAAACACCTCTTCTATTTTTTATCACTGTGGCACCATATAAAAAATGACCACTTTATGCATGCAAATGTAACGTCTGTGGACACTGGTAATTTTACAGAGAAGTTACATTCAAGTAGCAACCAGACCACGGACACATGGGGGGGAAAAACACGAAAGGTTCTTATATGTTAAAGCTCTTAGTAATTTTTACGTGTAAGAAACAACTGACAAACTAAAGACAGCACGCGTCACTCCGTGCTGAAATGAACTACCCACCTCTTCGTCGGCCCTCCCCGCGTACGAGAACTGAACCCTGATGTCACCAACCTCCGGGTTCCACACATCCCGACTATGATAATACAGGCCTGCGTGCAATTTGATGTCCCGCCTCTCCGGTCGTTCATCGCTTGTCACCAGCACAAAATCTGAGAACTTATCTATGAGGGCTGCACCGAACATGTACCTCCCCACACTCACGCGTTCATTCACGTACACTGTGGTCTTCAATGGAAATTCCCTGTGAATAAATGTTTCTTTGGTTTCAAGAATAATGGCGAAGCATACATAACATAGACATCCCCCATCTTTTCTTTTGACAGAAGCATGATTATGGCTTTTTCAGACAGCATTCAATCACATGAACTGTTTTTATTACGCCAGGCATAACACATCTGTTAATAAAAGTTATAAAAATTAACGTCTGCACACTGCATACCAACATACTAAACTAGTTCTATGCAAAACAGCCGAACATAAGTACATGAAGACCTTCAAAACCAGCTTGCATATAACGGCACATGGGCTTGTATTTGAATACAAAGCGAATAAACAGAAAAGTTATATCTGAGCAATTACTGTAATATTCACTGGCTCAGATGGTCAAATGGTAGAAAACTTTGAATACAATCGAAAGTTATAAATTTCCACATGAAATACAAGGGCCAATGCTGGAATTCTGGTTTATAACGCCATGCGAACTTGTATGTACCACAAGTACAAACATTCAGAGGAACATACTGCCTCCATCTTCAGGGCTGAAGTGAGGTTGTTGGGAAGTGTTTTGTTTTTTCCCAGAATCAGAGGAGGAAATGGCCAATCAGAGCCAAGGAATGAGGAGGAGATGATTGGTCCACACAAATATAAAAGCCTCACATTGCCTAAAACACGCCATTTAGAGGACTTGCCCCACATACCTCTAATCACAGAGCAGTATCTACTTAATCATATACCAGAACTATATTTTTCAGAACATCTCATTCGAACAGTGGATTAATTTAAGTTTAGGTTCCGAATTACCCTGCATCAACTGTAAGGTTACACAGCACACAGCTGCATACTGTGCTGCAACCACCCAGGATTACAAGGACAGCGTTCTAACCGCTGGCCCACCTACAATGAGTTTTAAGAAATTACACGCAAACTAAATCTTTCAAGTGGCCAAGGAAGCATTTGCTCACCTCACGTCGATCCATCGCAATGGCGTGCTTTTATTTCGTAACTTTCAATTTGCCACGGAGAACATGTCACATATACACTACACAATCTGTCACGTGGAGAAATGTGGGAACAAGTCTGCATCATCAGAGTTCCAAGATACAGCGTACATGCTGCCAAATACTTCTACTCAAATCTCTCTTTAACACGCTCTCAAAACTAATATATGCATATTTAACGATCAGTCGTGTAAGTCAGGCCTGCAAGCAACACGTGATCAACAAGGCCTCGGAATGTATATTAATGTAACAAAAAATCCACAGCTTTTAATTAACTGCACTTGTCATATGGGTCTAATCTGGCATTTTGAACTGCCTCCTCATGCTTTGTGCTTGGGATAGGGACTTGGTTATTTACCAATAAGGTCAGGCCCAAACAGACGCCTATTCAAAGGATGATTGACTCTGGTGACAAATGGGAATAACTTACTTAAAATAATATTTTAAACAAGACGTAATTCAGGATAAGAAGGAAAGTGTTTAAGAACATGCCCTGGTATGGAATAATCAATGACTGCACAAAATCATTACATTTCAATGATGATTTTCACCTTTGTCGAGCTTACCTTAACCCCTTAATTTAATGATGATCATAATACCAGTTGGTATAAACAAATTTCTTAATTCCCAAACAAAGAAACAAACAATGTGAGTTATATTCATCGCCCTGATGACGGAGGCAGTATGACCTCTGAAACGTTCGTTAAGATCGACCAGACTACACAGCGCAACAACCCAGAAGACGGAAATCTTCAATGTGATCTATACGCTTCCCTAATTTGGCAAACAGGGTTTCTAGCCTGTGATATAACCAAGAAATCTTCTTAGTGTTTGTGTTAAATTGCTCACTTTGGATTGCGATGGCCTGCCGTATTGTAGAACAGATAACTGTCAATCAGTTTATCTCTCCACTCCATGCTGTAGGAGTAACTCAGTTCAACGTATTCATGATCTCCTGGTACCTGCTCCCTGCAAGGAAAGCCGGTGATAACGCATTTCACCAAGACACGTGCATTACGGGCCCATATTTTTTATGTGCCAAAATAATTAATATGTTTACATTAATATAAGACATACTCTCCCTCCTGTCACACCTGAAGAAGTAAGAATTCCATTTACATAAAAAGTGATAGTGGAACCACGGTTCCGGAGAATTAGACGTAAGTACGTCTATACGGAAAGGAAGTTTATATATTGGCTTTATTCTAAGTATTTCCTTTATACATGCTTTACAATTGAGTAAAGTTTGATTAAGACTTTGCTTATTTAACTTGAATTAGTTACGCTTAAGATGGGTCTTAGGTAGATGAATGTAATGAAATGTAATGTAAGGTAATGTAATGTAATTAAATGTTTTATAGGTAACAACAATGCCGAGTAAACACGACGTTTCCTAGGTAACCAGGTTACACTTTTTCGTTTCCTTTTTTGCCGAATGACCCTTCAATATAGACGTATTTACGTCAAAAGAAAATAATCTATGAGAACAAATATTTCTGTCAAAACAGTACTGCCTATTACGGTGTTTCTCATGAGATATTTTGTTTGATTAACTGAGAAGACGCAGGTGACGGCGAGGACTGAGTAAACTCAGCCTTGGCGGGGGCTGCAGTATTAGCAGACGATTATCTCAATCCTGTTGGTCAAAGAAGGTACGAGGCTTCCGCGTTTTCTCCGACGATGTGAAAGGGAGTGAATGAAAGCGACTAGTACAAAAAAGCGGCAACAAGAAGACACATAAAATATTAACATGTAACATTCAAAAGGTTTAAAAACAATGTTCATGCACAACATTTAAAATAAAATCATATTTGCATTAACATTTCCCGACCCAAAATGCACATGCATCAATTATCATGGTTAAAACTATGGACCTGAATTGAGGGGGAGGGGGGGGGGTGTATTCAAACAGAATAGTAGTTAATCATCTAACCACCTGGCTATCACTGTCAATGCTATGCTATTCTCGTTTCATTGTGGCCGTATACAACTTTAAATCATGTTCACAGATGTCACTGAACTCAGACGCGACATGGAAAGCATGGAGCAGAAAGCAGACATTAATGGATTGATACAAAATAAATGTTGCAGTGCAAGTAATTAACTGCTGAAACTAAATCAAAATATTGAATACCAAGGGAAGTGTACCAGTTTATAAAACACAACAAAATTACTTCAAAAAGTTGTCAGTGGAACCACGGTTCCGGAGAATCTGACGTAAATACGTCTATACGGAAAGGAAGTTTATATATTGGCTTTATTCTAAATATTTCCTTTATACATGCTTTACAATTGAGTAAAGTTTGATTAAGACATTGCTTATTTAACTTGAATTAGTTACGCTTAAGATGGGTTTGTGGTAGATGAATGTAATGTAAAGTAATGTAATGTAATGTAATGAAATGTTTTAAAGGTAACAAAAATGCTGAGTAAATAGATGTTCCTTAGGTAACCATTATTGTCGATTTGTTGATAAACAGATGAAGTTTCCTAGGTAACCATTGTTGTTTATTTGTTGATAAACCATTGTTACACTTTTTCGTTACACTTTTTTGCCGAATGACCCTTCCTTACAGACATATTTACGTCAAAAAATTATCCTTCTCTGTAATTTTTCTTATCATTTAACTTCAAAGTGCCACACATTCAATATCTTATTATGTAAACTTATCCCAATATACGCCATGTAGGCGTTTGGGGGGAGAGGAAGTATAGCTCCTATTCATTCTTAACGTCAGCACTGGATGGGGATGAGTGGTTAGCATCACACCCTGGCCACGCTTTACCCCCGGAATACGGCCTTGGGACCTATTGGGGAGGAGGCCGGTCTGGACGCGTAAAAATTCAGTCCACATCACATAGAAAACACAACACGTTACCATTATAAAGATAAACTGGTTATGCTGTCTAAGAGAATATTCACTTTTTACACAGAGAATTATACAATACCCAGAAATACAAAATTCACAGTTACTGAGTGCTAAAGCAGGTGGTACATATATTTCTCACTTGAATTTAAAGGTTTAATACCACTTACAAACCATTTGGCATTCCCCATAACTTCTGGGTCACAGAATACAACTGGCAGATTAGTACCTTCAAGTTAAGCATCAGAGACTTTGAGAAGAAAGACAAGATTATAATTTTTTTGCACAGTTAGGCATTTTATCTTATTCTGTATTTACCTCTTATGTTTTTCTTCAACCCACTGATACATCTGCACACGGCGCTTCAATTTAACTGCAGGAACAGCCACTCCGTATTCCACCTCTGCAAGCGGCTCTCCGACACGCAAAGTTCCGCTAAAATGAACTAACTTTCCATTGTTTTCTTCCATTATGACAGATGTGTACTTGACAGGAATAACAGCATTCATCGCTTCCTCCAGTGAATGGGCAGTTTGTACAGCTTGTCCCTAAAAACATGAGCATATATTATGCTCTTATACTCTTCTGAATGTTATTGCCTCATCCCGCATTCTTGAAGACACGTACATAGTTCCTACCTCATTCCAGTAGACGAGTTTCATTCCAGCTAAGAACATGATGAAACCTATTACAGAAGTCAGCCATGATGCTCTCAGGTGCTCCTTTATACTCGGACTATGCCTCTTTGCGTTTGCATAAGGACGAGGAGCATCTGGAAACTGTAAAACAGTACGTTCATAAACTTCATTGTATCATGAACATCTTCAGAAAGCTGTGATTCAAAAACCTATTCCTTTGCACTCAGTGAAATGTGGATACTGACTAAACTTGCACTGTTCCAATCAAGTAAATCAATCATCCTGTTAGCCACCAGCTATCCAGAGACTTATCTCAACAGACTTGGGCACTGGAAAAAGACTGGAGGATTACTATCATCTCAAACAGCACTGCAAATGCATCCAAAGGCCCAGACCAGACCAGTGAATCAAAACAGGTGATCCTTGATATGCAGCTAACATGGTTGGAACACGTCAACCAGGCTGGAAGAAAGGTATCTAAAAGAATGGGCATACTACATCCCCATCTAATTAGAAAAAGTGGCTTGTCCATCAGAAACAGTGTGCTGCATTGTAAGCAACTCATCTGTCCTATGATGGACTATGCATGCCCCATCTAGAGATTTGCTGACATCCATGTCAGGAAACAGAAAGTGTTGAAAATCAAATGTCTTCACATCGCAAATAGTACACCTTGATATATGAGTAACATGAAAATTCACGAGGATTTGAGAATCACATTTTTTGCCAACCACTGACCGACGTTTCTGTTTTTCCGCAGTTCTAAAGCAAATGCATGGATTGTTGCACCTTGTAGTCGGGTAGAAGTTTATCGACATTTCTGAGGTGCTTGTTGCCTCTAAAATTTGGGGATACTGATCAAACTGATAATGAAAGCAGCTAACATTTCTGAAACGTCGGTAAACTGCACAAAATAACTTCAAGACATATACTGCATACTGCCGATGCATTGGTATAAATCTATGGTCATGGCTACGACGAAGTATTGCCGACACACATAAAATAACATACAAAATTAATATATTGCTTTACAAAATTCTAATTAACTTACATTAGTCCTATACATGTCTCCTTCTGCAACAACTACGATTTGCTTCACTTTCCTTTAACGCATTGACATGTGATGACCACGACGAAGGTGTATCGATATGCACAGAATGCGACAGGTAAGTCAAGGCCACAACAATCTATGACAATCGTCACAGAAAATAAAACTAACTACATTACAGATAACCTAAACCACGGATCACCTAAGGGTTATAGTTAAGTCAAAGGTTAATGAATAGGTTAAAGCTAACCTTAAGGACAACGATCAGAGTTGGGGTTAAGTTTTAGTATAAAGTTTGGGGTTATTTTAAGGTTCTGTAAAAGGGTGTGATAGTGTTAAACTTGGGGTTTTATGTAGATTTGGGCAGTGTTAAGGTTCGGGTTAAGTATAGAATTAAGGTTACGTTAGGGTTAGGATTTTATCAGGTTACTGCCAGTTTGATCACAGTTTAGGTTAGGGGTATAGTTTAGTTTGTATGTATTTATTTCTGACAGTTTGCTCTGTGTTCTTAAATGAGTTTATGATTGGATGTTAAGTGAGGCAGTAAAAATGTTTGAGGCAACAAAATAAATAAAGCATACTTTTTATCTACTGCCTGTATGAGCACTTGCAACAAAACAACCTATGAAGGATTGTTGGTATGTATTCTGTTGAGCCATAGGAATATCCAGTGTCAAGGATGTGTTGAGCACGTATTGAAATGGTTTTATTAATCACTATTGCCAGAATGTTTCTGTATTGAACTTTGAAAGTACACTTGGTCGTATTTATTTTTAGAACATCTTGACACATGAGTTGATAGATACCACTGCTATCATACAACTAACTTCCAGGCAGCAAAATGCACAGGTTCAACCACGACAACACCAAAGCTCGCCACCAGCCATGATCCAGAGCCAACTCCATCCACTTGCCATCCTCCTATCTCCTTCTTAGTCTGCCCAGTTTTAATTTTCCAGAATTCCCTACCAAAATTTTGTATGCACCCCCCTACCATCCCTATGCATGCTACATCTCCAACCCATCCTCACTATGCTATATACATCCTTTTTTAAGGTACTTGTGCAATGGTGTTATTAATTCTGAATACTACATGTTTATCAGTGTTATTGAAAAGATTTATTTCCCTATGTATGTGAATGTAACCATTTGTTTTGTTGGTTGTACTATTTCTCTTACCTTTGTTTTAAGACCATTGTTGATAATGGAGGGTAACTATAGTTGTGGGATAATGTTGCTATAGTTTGTACTTCATTATATTTCCTTCCTTGTGGAATTTGTTATGACAGGAATCATGATGGATGACATGGTCAGTGGTGTTGGGTGTTGTAGATATTAAAATCAAATTAATTTTGCCAGTGTGAGAGTTGGTAATCAGTATATTATTGATGTGCCTGAAGTATCTGATGATACTTTTTTGTGAAATGTGAAGGATTTAGTTCTGTCCAAGGCACACGTACGTGAATGTGAAAATTTCTATGTGACATGAAGTGGGTCTACCCATGGCTAAACCATTAATCTCTACTGAAATAGTTTGGGGTTAAGATAGTTTCTTATAGTTTTAATAATTCTTGGAACAGATGATAAGAATTGAAATCCTGGGATGCTAATATTTTTTATGTTATTTTTGTAACTTATGAAAAGAAATTTGGATTTCATATTTTCTATGTTGAAAGAGCACAATTTTATAATTTCATCGATAGTAATGTCGTGTAAATCACGTATTAAACCCATAAGAGTTTTTAATGTTAAATGTATTTTGTAAATGGATGTGATTATCTGAATTATGTGCTTTGCTAGTTTACAGGCTGTACATCAATTTTCTATTCAACGGATGAAGTAGTTTTGTGTTTGCAACTTCATTAGACGACAAACGTTTGGAGTTTCAGGGATGAGATTTATGTATTTCTGTTTTGATCCCTTGGTTATGATTAAATTGCAGGTGGTGATGTTTGACCTTTTTTAATTCCTTTGTTGTATCTACAGGTAAAGTTTCAATTGTCACATCAAAATTCATGATACAGATAATAATATACATGGAAAGATAGCAAAATGGATTTGGCATGTCGACAAAATACAGGGAAATAGGCTCTGCAAATAAGTGAGGAAATACCAACCAAATGGAATAAAATACCAAGGAGTACCACTGAAGAGAATATGAGTTAACAAAAGCAGAACAACTCCTTGGCAAAAGAGGCTTTGGTTACCATCCACAGCTTGTAACCCGAGACTCTTTCATCAACTTCAATCACCGTGAAAGCTTCACTTTATATAACTCTTTGACTGTCTGTTGAAGATGATGATGATGAATTTTGTTAGAAGAGGTTATTTGCCTGCAACAGAATAATTCAGATATTAATTCAGTATTTATTTCTTCCTTATTCAGGTAGAGCGATAAACAGTCATTTCATTATACTGAAAATTTTGATATAATGGCATACATTTTGGGCTGTTACATTTAATACTCTACATGTATAAGTTTAGTTAATCTGTTTGTGTAATATTTTTCATTATTATTGTATGAATTGAATTGAATTGAATTATCAGTGTTTGCCTGTTATTGGCTTCTTGCTGTTGGCAGACACTTAAATAAATGAATTGAATTATATCAAGATTTTGCTGTAGGAATAACTTTTAACATACTCTCAGCCATTTTTATTTGCAGAGTTCACTGGTGCCAGACATTTCAGATATATAACAAATTATTCATTCCTGGAATTATGATCACTTTCAGTTTAATGACTAAAGAGTACAATGACACTTGCATATGAATTGAACAAAAACAAACTGAAAATTGAATTTAACCCCCCATCCCCCAAGACAATAAGAGAACTTTCTCTTAATGCCGAGTTCTGAAATAGCATGCTCTACAAATAAGAAAGGAGGCAGAAGTCTTTTGCACTTTTCTTAATCACAGCATGTTTTTCCTTCCACCACCATTAAAATTTTCTGTCGTTGAATTGCACTCGTTTTTCGACATTTTTACTTTAGGAAACATATGCAGGATTGAAATAAACACACAATAAATTACCCATGAAACAAACATGATGTTCAGTTGTAAAACTTTGAAAATAACAAATTGCAGACTGCGAATTGTCCGACTGGAACAATAGAAACAACGCACAAGAACACGTGGCAACTGTCAAAAACAAATTTGGAGGTGGCGTCGCTCCTTGTTCTCAGTCTGTGATACAGCTAAGCAAATGATTGGCTTCTAAATGTGTGTACAGTATTACAGTATTTTTACTTTCACATACCGAGAGTATTATTCTGATCATAAATACAGTGTGGAAAGATGTAATAGAATGGAGTATATTTATTTTATAAAAGTATTCTTTGCAATGTGGCATACCGCACTGGCCTTGATCATTAACTGCTGAAATAAACCTGTCACAAAGCTAATCACACTACAGACTTTTAAATGAACATTGTAGAACACACCAAGCGTTTAGGTCTGCCAAAGCATCACCCCACCCCCCCCCACACCTTCCTATATGCCTTTATGATACTGTGCTTAGTCTCGGGGGAGAAAGCCTACCTTTAACAACGCAACTTACCTTCATAAATCGCTGATAAAATGTCACGGGAAGTCCAGGTATATCTTTTAATTCTTCAAAACATTTAAAATGACAGTCATTCATCAGTAACCTGAAGCAGAAATTAATGTTTTCACATACATCCTCAAGTCACAGAGAAGTACAAGAAATAATGAATGGTGTAATAATACTTGGATAACTAAAAAAAGGAAACATTCAGGGTTTTACTTGTGGGCACTGACTAAGCACAGGTGAGATCTGAGGTTCTCATGGCAACAAGTGTGAAAATGGCTGTTTTCTGGTATAGTGCACTGTGTAGCCTGGGTGTTTTATATTATTATTATTTAGTGTTCTGTCTGACGACAGGTCCATATGAACAGGATCCTTCCATCCTTTTCTCGGACTGGGACCTGTTCATATACGTTCTTGGCAGATGATCCAGAAGTGGTTTGCCATTGCCTTCTTCTGTGTGTGAATGGAGTAATTGTTGGGATGCCACGGAGGAAAACTCCGTGTTGCCTAGACCACGGCCTTGCCCAACACAAGTTATAAATTCGAACCCGAGACCCCAGGATTACAAGGCCAGCGTTCTAACCGCTAGACCACCGTGGCGGTAATCCTGGGTGTTTATAGAGAGACAATAAGATCTGCTGAGAAGTCAGTCAGTATCTACCAGACTACATGGTGCAACATCCCAGAAGACAGCCATCTTCGATGTTTAAGCAGATTACAAGCAGTAGAGATGAAGTTTATAGTATTTAGCATTTTAGCCTTCCTGCGCAAAGGCATTTAAATCCCGGACCCTAACCTGCTACAGGAAGAGTTCCCACTAATGTGTACCCATTTTACCACTGTTGCCAAATAAACTTAACAATTTCTATGATAGTTTATTCAATGAAAAACCAATATATTCATTTGATACATGTACCAAATTAATGCCTCGACTTTTATCTCAAAGGCTATGCGAGGAGAATTCATGTAGTTCGAACACATTTTGCAAGATGGAAGGACAAAGGAGCTGTTTGCATGCACATTTAAAATCAAGAAATTTCCACAATAATTTATGCAACCTAAATTTATACATTTTGTCAAGACATACCAAAGCCTAGACCTTTATCTTAAGGTAGAAATCATGTGAATCTACGACTGTTCACTAGACAGAAGCTCGGGACGCAAGAAGTCACTTCATGCACTGCAAGTCGCTCCACGGTACTGGATGGCACCAACATAGCATGCCATTGATAGAACCACTACAAGAAAAACGGGTGACAGGACAACTGGCTTTGTTACAAGATGATCCACCATCCTAACATTGATTAAGGATGATCCTTACCTGTAATTATAAATTATTATTGCTGTTTTAGGGCCAACAATGGAGAAGTTGGTTAAATCTTTCAATGATCCATTAATTAGCTTCAGTGCTTTCTGTTTAAATTTATCCTGTGCTTTCATGAATGATTTTTCATCAAACTCTTCTGGAGGCGATGCCATGAGAGCTGGAACAAGATCAGGGCATATCAGAGAACGTGGCAGTATGCCAACATTTTCATTTTTGAACTTCACAAAAATTTCTTGAACAGAAAGGATATTTGACAACTATGCTACTAGTACAAATGCTATGGGCTGAACGAATGGGGTTCGGTACCCAACGGGAGCAGAGGAGGATTTTTCCTCTAGCCTCTGTGTCCGGACCAGCTCTGGGGTTCACCCAGCCAGGGGGTAAAGCATGGCCGGGGCGTGACGCTGACCACTCGCCCTCACCTAGTGCTGAGGTCAAGAATGAGTAGGAGCTATACCTCCTCTTCCCCCCAAGCGACCTGTATGTCATGTAGTGGGACTTTCGACTATTAGTACAGGAAAACATGTCAACCTACGCACTGATCAGACACAGTGTAAAAGCTGTGCTATGCTGCTATTATAACCACCAGTGTAGTTTAAAAGACGTACACGTTTGATGAATACAGCTTGTTGTCACTGTCTGTGTGTACACATGAAAATGTTCAAAACTGGTAGAACAGATTTAACACTGAAGATTGAGGTGACATATTCCTCTGAATATGTTCCTACAAGACTACAATGCATCACAACCCAGAAGACCACAGTTAACATTTTTACTGCCAATCTGAAACTTTTATAAAGGATATGTACTTCATAACATTTATTGAGTATATTAAATTTAGCCAACATTTAAAAATCTGGAAATCCATTTTACATGGAACACCAATTTTTCATGTCTACATTGCAGAACACTAAAAAGAAATGCCTCCATTGTACTCACTCTACTAAAATGCAAATGTATTTAAAGAGAATTTTAATTAAATCGTCTTACCTTGTCATGGTACAGTGAATGACACAGCAAAAAGGTAATATTGGGATTTTTAAAAAATAAATTAAATCTAAGTTTGGGACATAACCTAATTCTGACTTTTCCCGAGTGGGGAATTAATAGCCCCAAAGAGCAAGATGAGCTGTGGTAATATGCTGTGTACCTTCTACCAAATTGATTGAGACTGTTTAGTTTCAGATTTTACATTATTACTCCACAACATTATTGTTTAAGGATTTCAGGGTATCCTTCTAAGGGGTATATAGCTTGCTGCTGTACATTCAAATTTAAACAAAAGTGAGTAGTCTGGGTGATAATTAAAGTAAAGTTAATATAACTTCAATTGACAGTGAAGTTGTTTTGTCTCAGTGTTAGGTTCAATCTGTAATTCAGTCCATGCAGAAATGAATGAGATCTGAGGATGAAGCTTAGGAATTCTGGAAATTTTATTAAAGACGGCAGGTCTTCAAGACTGCCCTTTCAGAGGCTAACATACTAATTAATATTTTGCGTAACTGCTGTACTTTATGAAACAAAAATGCTTCTAAGTGTGTGTTTGTTCCAAATAAAATTGTCTGTCCACACTCAGATTCAAACATTGAACCTTTGAATAAGAACAACTGTTGAACAACAAATTATGGAAAAATAAAAGCAACATCTGCTTTCCTCTCGCTTGTTAACAAAAAAAATAAACTGGACTGTGTGTAATTTACAAACAATTACACATTCTCTTTTGAAAATCCACACCCATGCCTGCTCCCATTGGCTCAGGGCAGGCTACTCCATTCACAGTCCGGCTCCTATA